GGGGGGGGGGGGGGGGGGGGGGGGGGGGGGGCCCAGGACAGCAGGGGCCAGGCCACAGCAAGGCTCTAGGCCAGCACCAGAGGTGTGGGGTTCTGTTTTAGTTTTGCTTTTCCGAGATGAATGGGGTTTGGAGAAGGTTTTATATGGGGAGGTGTTGACTTTGTCTTTAAGGGAGATGGAAGCACTGAGGCTTCTGTCAGGGTGTAACATGAGATCTCTCTGGCTGTGTGTGGAGGACAGATTGGGGCAGCGGTTCTCAACCTGTGGGTCGCGACCCATTTGGCGGTCAAATGACCCTTTCACAGGGGTCGCCTCAGACCATCCTGCATATCAGATATTTACATTACGATTCATAACAGTAGCAACATGACAGTTATGAAGTAGCAACGAAAATAATTTTATGGTTGGGTCACAACATGAAGAACTGTATTTAAAGGGCCAGAAGGTTGAGAACCACTGGATTGGGGGAACAGGAGTGGTGGTTCAGACGGAAGACATGGAGGGTGGACCAGGACGGAGGCGGTGTGGGTGGAGAGAACTGGGGAAGAGGCAGAAGTTCATGCATGGGACTTGCAGATGTGGGATCATGAGCAACTAGCACAGATGTGCACCCTGCCAGCTTGAGCACGTGGTGGGTGGTGGTGCTCTTAGGGAGGGCAGTGGACGTGCAGGCGCAGGGGAAGGAGAAACCAGACTGACCCCTCTGCCCCCCGGGTCTCTGGCTTCAAGAACTGGGGCGTGCGGGGAGGCTGTTGGCGAGGACAGCAGGGGCTTTTGTGTGTTTTAGGTTTGTGGCCCCGCATTCGTCCCACAAGAAATGAATGGATTGGGAGAGGCGAGAGAGGCACGAATGGGGGGCGGGGGGGCTCGTGCGGGGAGGCTGTTGGCGAGGACAGCAGGGGCTTTGTGTGTTTTGGGTTTGTGGCCCCGCATTCGGCCCACAAGAAATGAATGGATTGGGAGAGGCGGGGGAGGCACGGATGCGGGGAGGGGGCTCCATCAAGCCTTTTCTGTTTATAACCGGCTTTTGCTTCTCCCGCAGAGATCATCGATGAGTACATCAAGGAGAACGGCTTCGGCCTGGAGGCGGCGCCGCCGGGCCCGGGAGAG